TAACAAGCACCCCCTCTCCACTGCCCTCAGGAGCGGCACATACAAGACAAGTGCTTGCTTCGGAGAGATTTGCCACAGCAGGCGAAATCTCTGTAATTGCCTGCACGATAAAAAATTGCCTGTCGTTGTTCTGTTTGACCGCGGTCAATCTGGCTTCAGAGGACAGTCTGGGAATTCATGGCCTACATTGACGTGCAAAGCTGTAACCACCTTAATTTTAATTGTGCTTGCATCGCACAAAAACCCATTTCATTAAACGAACGTAACAAGCACCCCCTCTCCACTGCCCTCAGGAGTGGTCACATACAAGAAAGAAAGTAATATAATACAATTCCTAACCCCTTACTACCAGCATTCAAAACTAGTGCCCATTTGCATCTTGCGTTGTGCACCACTTGTTGAATGAGCCTAGTGGTACTGTTCCTGGAAATGACGGCCCCTGTCTCACACGCCATTCCTCCCAAATTATAGCATTGTCCAGATCACGGAGCGGATTTCAGTGTCCGCTAGCCCATCATTTTTGGAGGTTCTATCCCTATCTTTGTTTATGCACTTTCTATCGCTTGTCACATAGTTATGCTGGCTTTCCCCCCTCATTCATACTACACTAGCGTCGTATTGGCAAGCCTAGCCAGTCCTTGATTGCTAGGCTACGGAGCACAATTCCATTCTTATCCTTTCCCATTTAGGCACGTGTTGTCCCAACTGTAATCTGCTTTGACTTGCTCTTTTCTATCAAGGGATTCCATCCTGTTTGAGACCTGTTCAAACTCACCAAGCCTTAACGATCTCCAGCCGTTCCCTCCCCTTCCCAAGCTTCGAGCACTACGCATGACGGATGTCCACCTCATCTGATGTGAGCTTCGCATTCAAGGGAACCTCCAACCAAACCGAAGTTGCTTAGGATTCTACGTCGGCTTAGGATCTCGCTGGTCAACCCGAAGTTCTGCTTATCACGGTACTGCACATCTCCAGCTCGGTCACACCAAACATGACATCCGTTAGTGGACTTGTTCAGAAACCGAAGTATGCCGGTGAACTGGCTGCACGGCACTATCGTATCAAGACTGATGGCACACTCGAGGATGTCCCCCTACTCTTGGCTGTGCTCTCTGACACACTCGTTTTTTTGCTTGAAACACTTAAAATATTCTTGATCTGCCCCTAGCCGCCCCTGGGACGAGATCGATTTGGTCAGCTGAACCATATGTTTGGACCTACCCATCTCGGAGAACATTCAGATTTCTGCGTCAAACCTGATAATTTTCCGTACAGGTCACATTCTCTTCTGTACATTAACAAAAATGTACTCTTTTAGGCGGTTTCCGCACCCAAATCCGCGCAAACAGTGACGCCAGTGAATCCGTAAACTTCCATTGCATACCATGATTTTTATGTTAAGGCTACCGCTTGTCCGTATTGCTCAGGCCTTCATTCGATCTTTCCCGCCAACGCTGTTTGCGAATACGGCCATGAAACCCAACCCTCTCAGGGCACGCAGTCTCAACGGCTGTTTTAAATTTTGACTGGCCAGAGCGCTCCAACGCTGCTGATCCACAAAATCCGTTTTCAAAGTTTCCGGTTTTCCGCAATTTTCAGGTTTTTCCTAACGAGCTATGCTTTCCTCCGTTATGTTGCTGACGGCTGTGTTCAGAATTTAAGAAGCTGATCTTTCGTAGGCTGAACATGTTCTTCAAAAGAAAGCAAAACCGAATAACCGTGTTTTTCTACCATCTGTATCCACCGCATTCTGATCTTGCCAACAAAGTTGTGAACACGTTCGCGTCCGATGATGCCCACTATCTGCGTGAATGCCACATTTTAGCACAATTCCGAGGACCCTGACTGCACAGTTATGATCATGCCTGACAGTTTGCCATCAACCAGCTTGGATTAGATATTATTATACGCAACTGGGTGAGTCTTAGTGCGTGAGTAGTATTTTGACTCAGTTAGGGACGAACCATGAACAGACAGGAAATACGCTCTTATCCGAAGGCTTTCGTTCCAAAAAGGTTCCATTCGTATGCTTTCGGTAGGAAGGTAATTATGCATCATGATCGTGAAAGTAAATTGGCATGGTCCCTATGGGCGGATTACTTATTCGACGTAAAATAATCTTACCAAGCGGAAACGCAAATATTCTCTAATAACACAGCGACCAGTGCTTAAAATCCGGTCGGCAACAAATCAGCTGCGGAATCAGGACCCGTTTTCGCCTTTGGCCTTGTGAGTATATCTGAGATAAGATAGACAGTTAAAGGAGTTAATGACGTGTGACGCCTTTCCGAATGACTTAACACAATTTCCTGCTAACTACCAGCTGAAAATGCGAAGGAGTTACCAGAGCACTTGAAAATTGTTCACAACCATTCCCCGTTGAGGCGCGCCAGCTACTAAATTGCGCATACGGTAGCCTCGACGGCAAAGCAATGACACCTGATGAGGAGGTTAAATATAGCTCCAGTGTCGAACGCACATTCTACCTACTGCGGGGACTAGTCTGCCTGCCGAGTTTCATAGCAGAATAGAAGAATATCTGATAGAGCCAGAATTATGTTGGTCATGTTATTAGGCATCCAAAGTGAATGCATATAAGCTAGATGCCAACCACAGTCTGAAAAACAGTGGGAGTGAGCCAGTTGGCGCACGTCCAGAAACAGTACACGGTTATTGTACTGTTATGGTGGTTACTTTAAGGTTGCGTCTTTGACGACTGTCACAACAGCATTCGTCGTCGGTCGGGTTCACAGTTTTCTTGGCGCGAAATCGTGATCACCTTTGTTGAACCAGCCGGTGCGGTTGGCAAATAAGGCGTCTGGGAAGTCCGGTGTAGAGTGATTTGAGCATTGCGAAGTCATCTTCTAGCATGCTCATTCGAGTCACTGGTTGAAAAAAGCACGGTGTAACGGTACAAGTTCCGTGTCATTTTGAGCTTAAGGAGCGGAGGAACGTCCAGAAAGTACACGCCAGGCACGGCCACGCCAAAAGTGTACCCAGCCACAGAATGCCTACAGTGCTATAAATTCGTGGGGAAACCCACGTTTACAAACCGTTGGATAATGCATGCGTTAGTTGGAGATTAAGGCTGGAGAGGTCAGCTCAGAATAGACAATGCTGTCAAAGGGTGCAGCAAACACCGGGCTTGGGAGAGAGAGTGTAGGTTACAAGTCCATGATAAGTTTACATTTTCGAGATGGTAGACCAAATCGGAGCACTTTAACGCTATTTTCATGTGGAGGTTTGAGACGAAGGGATCGATGGAAGACAATGTGTTTGAGGCAGGAGTACAAAGCTAAAGCAAATTCCGTTGGGTGTGCAGCATAAAAAAGTGAAAGAGCTCTTCAAAATAGAGAACTGGTAGGGGTTGGAACCGATACAGACGTTGCAGAAGTGACAGAGTAATACAATATGTATCAGGACGTCTGCGAGGAGTTGCCTTTACCGCACTGAATTTCAAATCAGAAGGTTCGTGGAAAGCAGGTATTGACCGTGCATATAGCTAGGAATGGTCACCTGCTAACAGACCCGAAGTTTATCGGCTGATTATTTTGTCAACCCAGGGAAAAATTCCATCCACCTTGACATCAAAGTTGGCGAGGTGTAACTTGTGACGTGGGGCAGACGACCTGGATGACCATTAGCATTTACGTCCCGGCCCGTTCATTTTGTTGGAATTTGTCGGAGAAGGAGTTAATGTGGCGGCATTTTGCTGCAGGCAAAACCTTCATTCAAACATCACGAACATTTGCGCAATCGAGGAGTTTACCTCCGTTAATCCGCTGTAGCTCATGCACGGACTGCAAGGAAATACGGCAAACCAATTGTTCAGCCCATTTTTGTGGTATATAATGCAGGTTCGAAAACTTTGCAACAATACATTCCCATAGCCCTCCGTATGGAATGTCGGAATCTGGGACATACTCCCTACCGTATGCGGCCAACACATGAGGGGACGTCCAGGATACAACAAGAAAATGGCTGTTCAGATCGCTCGTATCGTTGCGTGGTGTAAACGCGAAACACAATTGCCGGAAACAAGCTTTTTTGCAGATAAGAAGAAAACCAGGATGGAGATGTGTGGAACATTTATCCCTCAAATCATGGATTGGGAAACATTTTGTCGGATGCATTCCTGTGTTTCCTGAACGTTTCGGTGTACTTTACAAGGATATATCGCAATTATAAAGGGTTAGAAAAAACACCTAAGATTCCCGGATTTTGCACTCAAGGGACCCCCCATAAGCAAGCTGGAGAGAAAATAAGAATCCCTGGGTCCGCCAATTTGTTGATGCATGTGGCACTAAGAGCTACTGTTTTCGTGCCCAACTTGTTATGGCGTGCCAAGGGCAACTCAGCATTACAGTCTAATGGGTCTTGGCTTAGAGTGCGATCGCACAGTACTGAATGTTATGGAAGTAACCTATGACAGTGGTGCGATTAGATGTATAACCGATAAATATTGGAAGGTGGGTACGGAGCACGGAACGAACTGCTATCAGACAGCCAGCCAGACGAATGTAGTGTTCAAATCGCAGTCGAAATGCACGTTAGACGCAGGTACATGCAGGTAACTTAATTCAAAGGAAGCCGAAGCCAGGCGTACTTAGCCACCGTTTTGTCTATACCACTTCTGTCAACGGGGCGACTCGACTTATGCGAGTAGTATTAGAGTAAAGCTTGACATCGTAGACTCTTTATATAGGTTGTTGAAGGTTCGGTAGGCGGCCACAGGTGGGATGTGTATAAATCGTGGAAATATCTTCTCAACGGCTGCAACGACCCACCCAGGAAAAGTTGTTACCAACGAAACCCGTGGTTCGTTTCGAAGCGCTGTGGATTTCGCACCCGAGTTGTCACAGGTCTCAAATTCGTTCCTGCGACCATCTTCTCCAGAAGACGATCAACGACGGATGACGGCCATGTGAGAAACGTTACAAGTAAGATTTTGCTACTCTCAACTGCCCCCTATCTCCCCGTGAGTCATTACCGCCACAAACCCTTGTTTGAATAATTCTATCGGAGGTAGCGCCTGTTCCAAAATTTTTCCTGAGTCAGCGCCACGGGGGATTTGGCATTCCCCCACAGGAATATACAGCTTTGTGCGCCATCCGCCGTTTGGATTATTTCAAAAACTTCACGTTTCGTTACTTAGCCTCAGTTCAATCCCGGGATTATGGAAGAAAACCAGAAACCGAACATTCCCCTCCTTTGTCGTAAAGGATGTGGCTTCTACGGTAGCCCTAACTACGATGGCCTGTGTTCAAAGTGCCATCGTTGTGCACAAGTTCAGCAGAACGCCCGAGAATCTCGGTTATCCGTAGCGGATCTCCGAAAATCGCCGGAACCTCCAGGTCAGTAAAGTGGTTTTATTCACTTATCTAATTTTTAATCATACACTGAGGTTGGAGTGAGTTAGAGGATAATAATGACAATATTTGGATCCCTTTTAAGACCTTTGTTAAATATTCCGAGAGTTCTGTGAGAGTGGCCACAAGAGCGTTTTGACAAAGACGCGGTCGTTCTAAGATTACCGTGCTGCCTCAAGCTCCTACGACCTCGTATGAGCTGATGACCTCAGTGTCGCCGCTCTTCAACCGGTTGGGATTTTGGAGGCGGGAATAGACTGGTTTGCGTCCATTTATCCATTCTCTATGTCTCCATAGAGACAACTCAGAGGGTTGAGCCCAAATATACAAACTCGACGGAGGTTACCGGAGGAATGGAAAGAACGTGTATTGTAGGGTAGTTTGGAACGCATAATGCGAACCAGAAGCTGAAGAAGCCTAACGCCCCTGCCCATATTTCACTTATCGACAGTGCCCTGGCAACAGCTTTCCACGTCACGAACAATGTTGTGGTACTTCATCCGGAAACAAATAGGCAAACTACATACGTTCGACGAGCATAAAGATTACACTGCGCGGACCACAGAACGGCCTTTCAACGAAAACAGGACTACCCTTTCTCGTTGAACGGCGAAGATGTTGCTCTGGACTGTTCAGGTTTCCAATCTTTCTTTTCATCGTGTGAAGACTGTCAAGGTTGTCGGTAACTTCACTTGTTTTTTTGGAGCCGGATTCGCTGCTCAAATCGTAAAGTCCGAATGCGTGTTCAGAATTTTCGAAGATGCTGTGACATTTGTCTTTTCCTAAAGGGATTTTTTTCACATTGTCTTCGAGGAAGTAAGTGCTAGTCTTTGGATTAAAGCCCTTGTTGACTTAAGTCCGAATGCGTGTTCAGAATTTTCGAAGATGCTGTGACATTTGTCTTTTCCTAAAGGGATTTTTTTCACATTGTCTTCGAGGAAGTAAGTGCTAGTCTTTGGATTAAGGCTCTTTATCGACTTTCGGCGTTCCACTATCGTTTCTTGCGAAGTAGCCTTTTGGCAGATGAAACCCGCGTGTGGTGACAGCGTCTCTTAGATACAACAATATTGGTATGAAAACCTTCATTGTATCTGGTACCCTCCTCTGCTGTGTTGACTGAAGATGAATCTTGAAAAGACGGAATTCCCTACCTGAATTATAGGTGTACGGTCTCACTCAGCGTCCACCGAGAGCCCATAAACTAAGTCGACACCATAGGCTTCACAGTCGTCCCAGAGCTAGACGCTCGCATAAACAACGCCAGGAAGATATAAAGCTTCATACTTCTGTGTAAAATTTTTTGGAACTTGATCCGTGTGCATTGTGGCGTATTTATTCGCTTCCTCCCCAAACTCTTCGACTGATAAAAAGTGTCTCTATAGCTCAAGCATATCGAGTTAACATGGCTGAGAAGTTTCGAGAATTCGATGGGTACTATTTTGATTTGGGTGATAATTGGAGAAGCTTGGAAGAAACAGTACTCAGCGTTTAATGCTGTCTGCACGAGCTCGCTCGATGAAGAGTGGATCTTTTCACAGCACTTCTTATTGAAGCCAGGGAGACTATACCAAACGGGTGTGATTGCGCGCAGACCCATAAAACGTTGGAAAATGGACAGTCTAAGGAATGGCAAAAATCGGTGGTTGATCGCAAAAGCTTGTAAACGGAGAAAGCTTCTATGACGAAGCGATTGCATCGTGATTCATCTGCTCCGATCAACTGGTCCGAGCATGGATGCGAGTGAAACGATCTCCGAAGAAGATCTCAGTTCATTCGCAGGTATGCTGGTTTCAACAATAAACTGAATAATGCGAAGAGCAGTTCTGCTTGTCCTGATCAACTCACACTTTGGAAAGACCAAATGAACCCCACTGCAGCGTCGGCAGCTGTCCGCAATCAACAGAAGTCCATAGTGCAATCTCCCTGCTTCAGAGTAGCAAAGCACCTTGTCTATATGACACATTCCGCACCCTTCAACGAAAGTGGAAAGTCCCTCTCAGCTATCCTAACAACTTTACTCCGAAGTATCTGGATTGAGGAGAGAATAGTGACAAAATGGACCACAGCGATGGTGATTCCTACTTTAAAAATGTGTGGATGAGTATAGTATGAATAACCTTAGGGTATTAGTCTTGTGGTCACAACTTCCAAGATGCTCTTTGGTACTATCGTGCGAAGGTTGATACAGCATTCAGAGTCAGGTTCGTATGAATCAAGCAGGGTTTCGTCTTGGCCGGGGCTTTATTTATCATATCTTCAGTTGACAGTACGTGCTTAAATTGCGCCACTCCTTAAGAAGACCAACGGTGATGGTCTTTCTCGACTTAAGGTCTACTTTTGAATTTGTTGATCGCAAGAAACTTCGACAAGAACAGGCGATGATGTCCCTCCCAAATCGTCGTCTCATAAAGGCTCTAAGTTTTTTCCCGTGCACCCATGTGCCTGCGGTAAATTCCTCTCCTCAGTTCGTCACATTCAGTGAGATCAGGCAGGGATCCCACTATCCTGTTCCCCTTAACTCCGTAATCGATGTTTCGCCCGGTCTTCTTTACCTGCCTCCAGCACCCCAGGGATCAGGTACTGAAATACTCAAGCGGCGTTCACTTACGGACATTGAATTCACCTAATATATTGCTTTTTTCGGAGCCCCTGTAAGAATGCAAACTTTTGGATGGCCTTAATAGTTGTGTTGCACATCTCAGTATACGCTTCGCACCTGTAGGATGTAAAATACTGCCACAAGGGAGAGTGGGATCAGACCCAACCCTGTAACGAGAGCCTTGTCGACCTGGAATATGCAGACGACATTGTTCTCATTTTCAAAGAGGAGGAGGATGCGCAAGCCTTTTTGGATGAACTGACCAAAGCACTTTGCACCCACAAGGTTTAAGGACATGTAGTCACTGAAAACGTCACTTACAATCCAGGGAAAGGCATTGAAAGTTGTGGAGCGTTTTACGTATCTTGGAAGTTGTGTTAGTTCTAATTGCAGTGACATGAGGTCAATGCACGAATCTGCAAGGCCCGGGTCACGTTTGCTAATTTGAGACACCTATGGCGTCAAGGGACGTGTGTATCGAGCTACAGTGCGGGCTGTTTTGTTGTATGGCTGTGAGACTTGGCCTGTTCGAGCAGCGGAACACGTCTTCAGGTGTTCGACAGTCGTCTCGAAACCATAGCTCGAGTGGGTTGGTGTCGGCGAGTCCGTAACGAGGTGTAGGCACCTTGGAATGACTGTAGTAAGCTAGCACTAACTCCATTCCCCGTCCTCCTTTATTCTTTTTTTCACAATAAGGCTTTCAAATAGATCATGGTTGTACTGCTCTGAGGCATCGGTATGGAACGATGATGTCATGCTGTGGGTGTTGATGATGATAATTTGTTCGTTTGGAGCTAGTCCTCCTAACACCTACCCTTTGAAATGCCCGATCGTAGGACTGTTCTGAGGTTTAGGTCGCATTGGTTTGACGGGCCTTCGTATTCGATCAGTCCATCTTCCAGGTGCGCAACTTTTGGAAATTACTGGTCCATCCAGCGGCTCTGGAGATTTTGACTTTTGAGCTAATTCAAATGTGTCTAGAAGAATCTCCAGTGAAAAAAACAGGATCGAGTGTAACTGTCCCTGGTAGCTATGAAGAGTGTAGCTGATTGGCATGACGGACCCGGATAGAGTAGCCTACGTTTATCTCATAGACAACTTTTCTAGCACAGCGCACGATTTTACCTTGTGTTCACTTTTCCGCATCAACACGGTAGTCTTCTCTAGCACAGATATGCCGTGATGTCGGTTTAACTGGACTTCCATATTTAAGTTTCTACCGGCTGCCAAATGTGGTGTTGGACAGATGAGGTTAACGGGTAGACGGATCTTCCGTTCTTAAGTACATCCGCCGGGGACTTACCGTGTGGAGCGTTGACATTTGGTGTCGCCCTGTAACTCAGCAGAACTTGTCTCGAGGATTCCCAGTGTGGTCCCCTATCCGAGTTTTAGTAGTGCGCGTTTCAAGGTGTCCACAAATCTTTCCACTTGACCATTTGATCGTGGCTGGAATGGTTGTGATCGCACATGTTTTGTGCTATTTTCTAGACAAAGCGGTGGATTCAGCGGACGTGAATGCACCGTTGTTGTCAGGGGCAGTGATGTTTGGAACTCCAAAGTAGCTAAACACGTAGTTTTGAAATATTAGTACAAGCAGTAACATGGTTCACGCTAAACCTTTCTGGTCATTTGCTATAGGCATCTCTTAGGATCAGATACTGTTAGCCTTGAAGTCATGACCATGGAGTTTCTGGAATGGATTGTGGTAGCAATCACTGCGTTAACTTCTAGTCCCGCCGTTATTGCAGCTACAATAGCATTCTCGGGTTGTCCACGTTGAGAGTCCGTGAGCTTTGATAATGCATCAGCTTGGCGAACAGCATCGGTGGACTGGTATTTGATGGAAATGTCGTAGCCCAAAGGCATTGTAGCGTAACTTTGCAAGCGGTTGGCTGTGTAAACAGGGATGCCTTTCTTCGATCCGAAGTAGCTTATGGCCAGTGCAAAATGACGTCCATAGAGCATTGTATATAGCTTCTTAATGGTGAAAATTATTTCTAAAGCTTTTTTCGATCTGGCCATAACGGCGCTCAGTAATTGTTAGGGGTCTAGCTGTGTGAGCAATTGCTTTTTCGTTTTTGTCAGGGAAAACGTGGGAGATGACAGCTTCAATACCATAGCTGGATGCGTCTGAAACAACAGTAATGTCCAGGGCTGGATTGTAATGTGTGAGTAGCAGATCAGAGCTGCGACGGGACCTTGTCGAAGGCGGACTGATACTCATGTGACCAGTTCGAAGGCATATCCCCTTTAAAAGATAATTTAGTGGTTCACGAAAATAATGCGTGTCTGACGAAAATGAATTGTAATGGCTTACCTAACCAGGAAATGAGCACAAGGTTGCTAAATCCGTCGGTGCTGACATTTGTTGTATGGCAGAAATATT